CGTGTTTGCGTGCATTTAACACACACACCTGGGACCGGACGTTCACTACCTTAGCTTCAACGGATGGCCGCCCAAGGTTGCACGCTGGCCACGAACTTACTAAAAAGCTAGTTTTAAATTGATAATGAAAACCACTTTCTAGTTCACCACTGAAGTTTCAAACACGTTTATTCCACTTTCCACAAACACACTTAGCACTTTTAAATGGGCGCTCTACAGTTACGGTTACATGTTAGGAGCAGCACAAACACTGGCAAAGAATTAATCAGTTCAGTCAGGGAGAGGGCACACTAAGATTTAAGCCAGATCGGCAGTTACTAACTACCACTAGGAAGGTCAGAGCAGCAACTTCACCGACCGGCTAGCAGAACACAACTACTTAGAAGACAACTCAACCGCCCTCGTCACTTCTCTCCACAGCAGAGAAGGTCGGGAGTCAATGGGACGCAAGCGGCCTCACTGTAAATTCATTAACACTATTATGTACAATGTCACCTCGAAGAAATTGACATGAGCACAATAAAAACTTATAAAATATCGTGAACGATTTTCCATCGTTCACAAACCAATGCATTGGTCTTACGAATTTCCTATAGCTCCTCTCGATCAGTCATCAGTGCGCAGTGCGCTTGGATGAAAGCAGGTTGTGCGGTGTCAGCGGCATTTGCGGTGCCTGACTAAGGTATATTTGGATAAATGAGCGAGATGTTATCCAAATAGCAATGCACTTCTTGTTGTGATCATTAACCAAAATATCTTACAATAAGGGCAAATCAATGCATTATCCCCATTCAAAATTAAAAGAATTTTTAGAAGGTTACAAAGAATTTAGAAAATTTCGTGAGTTGGAATTGCGACTGTCATAAAAAGAAATAAATTTGTTTACAGAGAACTAGAAGTAATGGTTGACTTGTCAACCTCAACATAATTTTAAATCAAAAATGCATTAAGATATTGTTCGAGTGAATGATCATAAAACTCTTAGATATGAATATCAACATTTGCTTGTAAATTATAGCACAAAAGTCAATTGACATTTTTATCCCAAAAGCACCGTTTAGCACGATTACATATTATACCTATGTTAAGTTATTTGCTAAATTCTATCACAATTCACCGTGTTGCAAGTAAATCAATAGTTTTATATTGCTTCGGCACACTCAAAACTTGAACGTAACTCCACTTACGACACCTCCGAGCAGGCGTAGAGCTACGTACGGCTTCTTGCATGTAGCTTCCCGCGCAAATGTTGTGATAATACCACCGCTTGAGTTACGTCATCATATCAGCACTTACGCCACACGTAAGTTGATTTTGCGGACTTTTGAGAGTTTTGATAATACGGGCCCAGTATGAGCTGCTGTTGCGTTGTAGCCCTTGGCTGCAACTTTTGACGTATATATAAACTCCTTTAAGAGAAAGGAAATCTATTACACTTGATGCAATTCAAGTATCAATGTAACCCTATTATACAAGTCGCAAATTCAATAGATGTCTATAAGCCGATCCAAGCAATTTCAAACAAATCCCCGTATCGCCATAGATGAAACGTTTCGGGGTCCAGCTCCATCATCAGTTTCAGAATACTAGAATACAGATACAATCAGTTGATAGCACAATCAAAATTTAAAGGAAACAGAAATTGGAGCTTGAATATAAAGATAAAATACATAACAAAATGTCACTCACAAAACCAATCTATTCACAATTCAAAGTGGATGCGAATTGGAGGCTACGTTCAAGCTGTTTAAAAATTTATAGGGATTGAAAAAAAGTAAATTTGAAACATCAAAGTAGAAGCTAAAATCACCTTCAAAATTTGGTCAAATACTCTGCTCAGCCGGATGAGGGGAAGGCGCTGGTAAATGTCCAGTCCTACAACTCCTCTCCTTATGCTCTGAAAGTTCCAAATCATGATCTCGATTCATACCGACGTACACAGATGCGCATTGCACACAACTGTATTTTTAAACTAGAGACGACTGCACATTATAGAAATAATATCTTTTTACCTAGAGAAAGAACTGATTTTTAAATCATTTATCAACAAAATGAGAATTCTTATTTGAAAAGTATTTGATGAACAAAAATTTGTAATTATTTGGACATTGTTTCAGATGCAGTGCCAAAGCATGGAAAATAACAATGAACAAGGTGCCTGCATGTTATACAGCTCGGAACCACCTCAATATAGCGCAGGTTTGAACAATTCATGATTGGGAATTACCAAATACAGTAACACTTATCTAAACAAAACAGTGAGGTCTAAAATTGACCAGACATAACTTACATGTTGTTACAAAAAATTTCCGCACTTTTGTGAAACCAAACTTCTAAATGTTGGAAAAACATACCTCATAATGTGCAGCGACTGCACTGAGTTGAAAGTCGAAGCAACTTCTGGCCGAAAATGTGTGACGTTGGCAAAGCTAACCATAAGTTAAATCTTGTTATTAATTCTAGTAAATTATCCGTCGTTCGAGTAAATTTAAAATAGGTACACTTGAGTAAAACCTCGAAGCTGTAATAAACACGTTAGCAGTGGTTAATGTCACCAATTTATCAATATTTCTTAAATTGTCGCAAAGCATATTGAGTGGTTAGTAAAAAACTTTTTCAATCAAGGGTGGTAGTTCAAGAATCACAGAGGATACATTTTTCGAAAATTCGACAGGAAAACAAACGCCAAATTTTTTCCCAAGTTCTCAGATTATACAATTTTTTGCCCACGATTTCAGTGGATATACTTTCGTGAATAAATACCAAGACCTTCATTAAAATTCAAATATATATGTTATATATAACATATATATTATAACATGTTTGGAAGGTCTATATAATATATAGACCTTCCAAAAAAATATGAGTATTAAAAATACAAAAACATTTTGGTATGAAGGTGTCGATAGATGTTAACTAAGGAAAACAATCGAGATATAAAACGTTTAATTATTTGAGGCGTTTGGTAGAAAGCAAGGTTGTTTAATAAAATAATTCGTTGAAAACAGCGACCGCCAACTTACTTCATGTTAAAAAAATATATGCATATTATTTAGTATGTATTTATTATTATCCGTTTGTAATTATTCGAGCATCAGTAAAAAGTTTTGCTTAGCCAAAATTTCACAAAAATCAAGCCGTAACTTCCTATATCACCTTTACAATCTGAAGTCAGGAGTTTGCTCGGCCTAGTGCGTCATGTTCAATGCAGTAATTTACTCGGCCTATCCTACTTATTTTCCATCACAAGAAGCCTGAGGATAATCGATATAATTCCTGCGTTTGCCAACTATGAGGATCAAAATGCCGCTCGTTCCTGGTAATAAGGACCTGAAAAAATAGCGACTGTATTATAGAACCTTACTTAAAAAATGAATATCTGAGATTTTCTTCCTCTACAGTTAGATTTCGCGGCCATTTCATTTCCCGATGTTCCGCCGACACCTTACAAGCATTAAGCGTCTTACTTAATCTTAATCAATTGAATGATCTTGAGAGTTAATTAAATAAGTAAATTGTAATCGAAATATTCCCCTTATTTGTCTGAAAATTTTGAATGAAATAATTCGAGTTCAGGATGAATCTATTTTTCTCATCAACGCGAGTCGATTGTCATGTGTATGGCGCTAATGAACTGTAGTGCCACGAACGAATTTTATATTCATTCTGCACTTGAAACTTATTTATATTCGCAAATTCGTTCCGTTGAATGTGATCTTGAACTCAGTTGATTTAATGAATTGCTTCTATGTTTTGATTGATGTCCTATTGATGGTGAAATATTGCGAATTTAATTATTCATCGGGGGAGAAGTGACAATCGGCACTTGAGGCATATCTGCATGTCTTGTCTTGAGGCATATCTGCATGCACTGTTAACCACTGAATATCAACCTTTTTACAATACTTCAAATCTGCCTTTCAACGAAATTTAACCACTCCAAATCATTTTCAGAACTTGGTTGATTGAGTTACAAATTAAAGCTTCCTTGATCACTTATTTCTTCAACTTAGCATTTTGTCGATTGTGTGAAAACATCACAATTTATGAAAATCTTCCCTGCTGACATGCATAATTTTGCAAGCATAATTAAGTCGTTAGCTTGAACATGTTTTAACAACCTATGTATAAATATTATTAAGATTTCGCCCTTCCGAGAGCTGCATTGCGCCATGCTCAGATACCGCAAGAGGAAAAACGTGACTAATTTTAATCAAAAGCAGCACGAGTAAAGCCAGGGGCAAAAATAGGAAGGAACGACGAAATATTTGATCAAAGTGTAAGTTATTTTCAAGGAAAGGCACAGTGAGTTTCCCGATGTATGACTGACTCTCCAGCAATGCACATTCGTGGTTAAGCTCGTTCTATCTTAACGATCTATCAAAACGATCGATTCTTGGCTTTTCTCGTGAATTTTGCGTTCTCTTTAACAACGAAAAAATTTCATGGAAACGCTCATGTAATGAAAAGCACCTGAAAAAGTAATTGCCTGAATTATGGGTAATTTTTTAAGATAAGAGGAGCTAAATATTATATGTTTTTTAGTGTTTTTACTAAAGATTTCTGCACTCCAGAAAAGATATCTTCAAAGTAATATTTATTAACTAATGCTGAAAATGTTATATATCACTTTTTTGCTCAAAAATTTTTAAATGCAAATCCTTTTTATTTTATTTCATTTCCCAAATTCTTTATTTCATACTTTAATCGCCCAGTGTTACATTTTAATGCAAAACTGAACAAATGTAGTACTATAAACTGATTTCAGTGCTTTTTGGAGACATATTCTGACGATTTGTATTTACTGGGGCTATGTTGACCCTAAATTTTTGGTTAACATTATGTTTGAAAAAAAAACGGTAGCTGTTACCAACAATAATAATATCATCACTTGTGCGATAAATTTTCAGTTATCAATGTGTTCAGTCAGTGTGTTTCTATAATTAATAAGCTCTATAACAAAAAATAATAAAATTTCTCAACATTTTAAATACAATGAGACAAAATTCGATCGAAAGTTGTCGCATCTGCCTCTGATTTGCGAGACAAATATAATTTACAAATCTTCGAAGAAGCTCAAATGAGCCATCACACCTCATTCGATTTATATTGTGCTCAAAAAAAGTGATCATGTATGCTAGACTTTTCAAGAATATTACCGCCTTCGTAACGTTTGTTCTGGTTATTCAAGTGATTTATGACTGGTCGAATTATCAAGGGTTATTGACAAATTTAAATCACACAAGTCATCCCGAACGACACTTTGCCATAGAAGAACCACCTTTCGTCTTAATTGTTTGCAATGGTGAGCATTTGTGTTACCTATAAACTCAATTATCTCATATTAATCCTGATTATTTTAGTGTGTTTTAAAGTAAATAGTTATAGTGGACGTAAGTCCCCATAAAATTTACGCGTCATGTTTCATGTAAGTTCAGGCACCGATATGCAGCGAGCTGCATCATTGAGGCTTTTCAAATTACAGTGGAGGAAAAACCATCAATCCAAGGAATCCACGGTGGCAAATTTGGGAAGGCAGTTGGAAGTATACCCTGGAATTTTATCTTAACCACGAGGAAAGCCATAAAGGTTTTCGAACTGAATTGCAGACTCTCCCAGCAATGCAAATCCATTCACTGTTGGTTCTTGCCTAATTAAATTAATGTCTTCCATCTGATCGTGCAAATACTAGACGCCATTTTTTATCATAGCCACTGAAATAAATCTGAATTTTTCGATTTAGATTTTCAATTTTTTTATCTGATTTTATTATATTTTCAACAATTACACTCAGAACAAAGCGTAACAATATGACATTTGGGCTAGCACTATAGGTCATCCAGACGAACACGATTTCGTGTAGGTGTTGTATGCCAACTGTCATACCACTGTGCAGATATAAATTGTATCTCTAATAAAATGATATTAAAATTCGTAACAAAACGTTTGAAGTTCAGCTGAAATTATTTTGAAACTATTTGCTGAAACTTATAATTCTATACGTTCAAATTCAATGATTTAGGTAGATAGTCTTTAAATAGTTTAAGTTTGTTTCTGAACACTAAATTATATGACAGGCAGGTATCAGGACGCGTTCAGTATGAAAAAGTGTATTTCTTGATTATCCTTTATAAATTTTTTACAAATATTTATTGGTTATCTCAACTGCTAATTTCTACAATTAAATGATATTCCCAAAAATCTCCCAAGATGGAAAAATTCACCGGACGAAGGGCTCAACCATGACTAAGTTTGAGACTCAAATGCGCCAGGCCAAAGTTCTTATCAAGTCAGCTGTAGCCCTCAACCCAGCTACGATCAGGTACATTAATATAGCGGTTTCTAGATTTGTTCAGTACATAAACCCTGTATGTGTCTGGTCTGTGTGTTTTTGTGAGTCTGTGTGTTTGTATTGGTCTGCGTGTAAATGTGAATCTATGTATATGAGGTATATGAGTGTGTGTCTGTGTGACATGAATGAAAGTCGCAGCTTACGTCATGACAACGTGGCTCATGTTTTTTATCATGTAATTTTAAATGATGTTAGCTTCCTCCCACGAAGTAATGTGAAGCGCCCGCTTTTATAGCTTTGACTCTAGCTAAGGTAAATTTCAATTACTTTTAAAAACCTTTAACATAATTCTTCAATGGTATAAGTAGGTAGATAAGCGAGTGAATTATCACAGTTTGCATAAACAGCTTAAATCACAGGTTACCAATCATTTACACACAATCTTATTTCGAATTTTTGAATTTTTGCCAATTCACCAGTCTTCTTAACAAAGAAAATTTTCTAAAGCCTACTGACTTTCCCGAACTCGAGTAGCTACAATAATATTTGTACGATCAGTTTATATTTTCTTTAGTTGTGTGTTTTTCTTAGCTTCATTATGTAGCATCGATTCTAGTCGATTGATTTCATTCTGATTTAATATAATATCTTTAGAAAACTCATTGAATAGGTTTTGATACTCACATTAATAATTTCCCGGCCATTTTTGTCATCGAAACTGACCTCGCTCGTAATCCATGATTTGTTTTGTTATGTTATTAAATTTTGCATCAATAGTTGAAGCTAAATTCGACTCCAAGCCTTTGAATTTCTGATCAACTTCAGTAAAAGATACCTTTCTAACAATTTGTAACTCGATGTTATGAATCAGCAATTCTTAAGTTTTAAGCTTTTCATTCACTAAATCTTCAAACACCAACAGTACTCTATGGATCTCCTTATAAGCTCTAGTAATTAATTTCTAATTTGCTTCATTGTGCAATTCCGATTTTTTGACGTCATCATCGACTGCTAATTGCAAACTAGTGATTTTTTCTTCATTTTGTTTTTCTTCCGAATTAGTTTTTCTTCCGAAGAATCGATCTTGGAAAATTGTTTACTTATCTTTTAGTAGGTTTCATTGAAGATCAGAGAAAACGTTTTATTCACAATTTTCTATTATTATTTTTTTCAATAGATTGAACAATATTTTTATTAACACGTTTTTCTTAACTTAGCTTCGCGTTTGTTTGTTTGTGGATTTGTTTGTTGTTAACATTGATAACGAAAATTAGCCCAATTCTAATTGCTCTAGAGATCTGAAATTCGGCATGCAGGCTATTTTCGCCCAACAATTTTAGATACAATCATAAAAACTAGCAATGAGAGACCTAAATTAGCTTAATTGAGTGAAGTATATATATATATATATATAGTATATATATAGTATGACGTGCGGGCACTGACGTTATAGACGAGCAGGCGTTGACGCTGCGTATCATCGATACGTACGTCAAGTCAAGTAAATTGGCTCGCAACAACGTTTTTCATGTGTAGCAATGGACTAAAAAGGAGAAAATAAAATACTCAAAAAATTAAAAAAAACACGTTTTTCTTGTGGACTAAAAAACAGAAAATAAATTATGGCTCGCCCCAAAAAAACGTGGATCGGCTGTACGTTCACCATCAAATTTCCAAAATTCGTGTGTTGTGTGCTTTTCGCTTTAATCATAAATCTGCCCGACACACGTTTTTTGGGGCGAGCCATAATTTATTTTCTACTTTTTAGTCCACAAGGAAAACTTTTTTTTTAAGTTTTTTTTAAGTATTTTATTTTTTGTTTGCACTGGTAAATCGAAAATCAACTTACCGATGGACATTTTCATTTCTTTAACAACGTTACGAATGTAGCAATCATTCATTATCAAGTTACAAGGCGCATTGAGTGATGGAATTTGGTTCGACGTAGGTATAAAATCATGTAAATAGGATACTATTCAAAATTCAAAATAGTTTGAAATAATTACAAAATCACAAAAATTTGTAGATTATCAAGGATTTAAAACAGCAAAAATCACTCCAAAAATAGTCTCAAGGTTCTGACAAATCCAGTAGTCTGAATTAGGTTGATGGCTGGGGTCTCATTCTTAATGATGAGGGTCTTCATAATTCTACGGTCTTCAATGAAACCTGCTTAAATGAATAAATTTTGCTAACCTATACTACAACTTCTAGTATGGAGTATAAAAATTTCAAACCTAAATTATTATTGAAAAAACTCAACTCATAAGTCTGCTCCCAGGGCTGTGATAATTGAATTGAAGGTGGAATGTTCATTTCGAAGAGTTTCAATTGAAGCTTTCGGAGACTAAGGAAAATACCTCAATTAATTGGACACTTTTTTTCCTCACCATCTTTGCAACTGGATGAAAGATTCAAATTATTTGCATAGATATCAATACCCGACATTTTATAAAAATGTATAGTAAATAAATATTATTACCCATTCGTGCAAAGATCTAAAGGATGGAATAAAATCTCTCATACTCCAATCGTTTTAACATTTCTAAATATAAGTGCCAACAAATTATTTTACCGGACCAAATATTTTTGCATGTATTCATGTCCTTTTTAACTCGTTAGGACACATCAAACCATCACTATCAAAATAGTAACAAGTATATTTTTCTTTATACCAAGTCCAATGAGTCCCAGTTCCCTGTCCTACAACCTGACTCAAAATTCTTCGCTCCGTTTTCATAGGTGACCTAGGAAGTGCATCGCTCATGAAAATGTCTCTGACTCAAGGGACTCTCAGACCAATTCCTTTTTCATCTTCCATTGCTTCATTATAACGTTTTGTTTCTGCTATAAGTTTATAATCAGCTTTCTTTTTGTTAACCACACTAGCTATGGCAGAAGCTCCCCCTGCCAGAGACCCAGCATCTCCCAAAGCTCATAGGATTACAGGAATTGAAAAGATGAAACCTCCTTCTTTTGCAGATACATAAGAAGTTATAGTTTTTAACAAATTAAGCAACGTCCGTTATTTAATATTTTGTTCTTTTTCGTGCTAATATGCTGATACTCAGTTTCAGTATTTTTTTAAACCTTACACAATACATCATTTTATTGAAATATAAATACCAGAGAATTTTTTAATTTTAAATTAAATATATATTCATATTGAATTGATATTCAATACGATACGAATACGATATGAATACATATATTTATGAATACATATATATAAATTACGATATGAATACATATATTCATATCGTAATTGAATGATTCTGTCTGAAAGAATCAGAGCATAGCATCTGTTTTATCATGAATGTTATTATTGAATTCAGCTTCAATCTTCATATCAATAGGACAGCCTTGAAGACGTTCATTTTGTCAGCTAATATCAAATACGAAAATCGGACGTAAAAACCTATAATCTCTCTATGCAAAAGCACAATTTGTCTGGGATGCATATTATAAACTACTGCATAATTGATATTTTAAAAATTAATTTTTAGGTCTTGCTTAGGATTCCTTTCGTTATTGAGCCGGATATTTGCATCTTTAAATCACAGTTATCAAACAGTGCAATTTTTAAAGTTGTGAATTATCTCTATCAGTTCAAAATGCTAAAATGGCACAACGAGGTTTCTGAGTCCCCGAACTTGTTGTAGGAGTCAAATCCAAGAACTTTTGATTAGGGATAATTATTGCTTATTCCAATTGTCGATTAATGTATGCAGTTGATATTCAAATTCTATTTATTATTTGACTATATAATTGATTATTATACTCATCAGATAGTTTATAAGCCACCATTTTCCAAATTAGTCTTTTAGAAGTAATATTTTTGCTTGCAATTATATATTGATTATGTGGATTTTTATCACATTAAACAGAGCATTTGCATCGTCACCTCTTCTTAGAGTTAAGTCATGCTTGACTCTATATATATATTACTTTGTCATAATTTTCCATGAATCCGAAAATATGTTTTAGGAGAATTGTAGCATTAAATTGACCAACGGCGGTTCCTAAATTTTTACTACACGTTTATTGAATCCATCATTCGATATTTGATTTTTCTTAGTATCAATACTACAGAAGAAAATCGTTTTTATTCTGAGCTTTGTAGATGTAGATTTTGTCAATCCTTTCAGAGTTGTAGCGATTCCAGGATATCTATAGCCCTCAATTCCAACATTACCGATTCTATAAGATACTCGATCGAATAAATACATCAGACCACGATTAATAATTCATACTTTATCATTGAAATTATAATTACTACCATCCTCTTTAGTTAAAATCCCTTCGATGTTAAGACAATTTTGTGGTGGTAATAGAAACTGATCCTGAATAATAATCTTGATATCGTTGTGTTCGCGATTTAAATTATTTTCAATTCGATTCTCATAATCATGAGTTTTAATTTTTTAATTGATTTATCGATCTAAAAGTTTCATTCTATTGTATGAAATTGTTTTTCCATTCCATGTTTCATTCCATTGGAAAGAAACTATTCATTGACCGAATAGTTTCATTCCATTGTAAGTTCTCCATATAAGTAATTTTTTTCTAAAGAATATTTAGATTTCATGCTGTAAGCGCGACGGCTATACCTGCCGCTCTTACTTCAGCGCCAGTCAGACAAACGAAACTTTATCCATGCAGGGAAGTGAACTTTGGTAGTCTGACGATTTATTGGTAACACAGGCACTGGTAAGAACACAAAATAAACTCGAAATGAACCCAAAAACCCAGCGGATGGCTCGTACTGAACCTATTGTTCGTAGTTAACCAATAAGATTCTGCAAATAAAAATAATAAATAAACTTAAGATATGGCTATAATACTTAACTTTAAATATTCCTAACAAAATAATTACAATTCACAGATATTACAGCATAAATTTAGATCTCACAATATAACTATTCACAAATTTCACGCACAAATTTACATGTCACAATAAATAAGGTCACAGAATTAAGGTTCACCAACAGTGAAGCGCAAAGTGCTTCACGACTGACAAAATGAAAGTGACGCGCTTCGGATGATCAGGGTGAACAGACTTTTTCTCTAAATGAAAATACTAGTAAAATCGATAGACAAAAACATTAATGGAAAAATGGGTACAAATTTATCAGAACAAATACAAGAATAACTGTTGAATGATCGCAAAAAAATAACAAGGAAAATCGCGGTACAAAAATTAGAGACGCATGAGGCGCGGCTACAATGCTCTCAAATGCAATCGTTCGGTTATTTTTTCACCTCTGGCGTTCAAAAGATTTCTATTTTGATTTTTTAGCCAATTTCGGTTATCATAAATTGAAGGTTGATCTATGATTAGACAAATTGGTTGACTAGGATTCTCCACACTTTTATATTCAGCGAAAAGGTTTGGGAAAAATGTATACAATATATTTTGTAAATCACCAGTGAGATATGATCCATTGTTTATACTGCAGTGAACAGGTATTGCATTAACAGACATTATATTTACCATATTTGTGCATGCCCGTTCTCCAATATCTGCTAACAATCCATCATCAAATTCTAACAGAGTTATATATTTTGATATTCATTTTAATGTTGACAGATAATATTCTAATGGACACTAATCGACGGTATGATAATATCGGTCATGAGCGGTGGGATATATAGATATTTATTTTACAATAGATAATATTGTAATTACAAAATTTAACGTATGATATGAAGTGTGCTACTTCTATGATTACTGGAACTCTTCTACAGTTAAATATTGCATTGAAGCAAAATGACTCAGTCAGTTCAGCTCATGGATGCAGTAGACTAGTAGGTATAGACGAGAATGGTTGAGTTGTCGGGCGTAAATGAGAGTTTTAGTAAATTCCATGGTTTAAATAGCGAGTTGCTCAAGGCCATTCACTCTCACATCGCGAGATCGCGTAATCATCTTGTTACACGAGTCGGTACTCGGTCCCTGCACGATATTCACAAACGCTTTCTTTTTTCTACGGTGTTCTTCAAACATGAGCCGTTGACATAAAGGATACCGGCTGTTATTTCCTCAATAAGTCTCGGCCTTGAATTCAGTCCTAGAAAACAAGCCAATTGATCACCTGAAAGCTTGTGAATATAGCTCTGGTGCGGATGTTGCGTTCCTACTCGCATTTACGCTGCTCAGCCGTGCATATTACGTCGAATCTTACGTGTGATAGCATTTCATTCTCTTCCACACTTAATCAAGTGTATCATGTGACCGTGGTGGCAGCTCTGTGTGTATGCATTTAGTATGGTGATCGCTCAGGTCTCGGGTCTGGAAAGTATTTGAAAAATTTATATCAATTATATATCCAAAAAAAGTATCTTCCAAAGTGACACTATAGGTCAAGTCCGAGGTTTTTAGTAGCCAAACTTTACTGACGCCATTGGTTAAAAAATTCATGAACAATCGAAGGTAAATGATCAGGCTTTTTGATTGGGAGATGATGCTAAAATTTTGGATAGAAAATATTCGAAATAAGTTTGTGGGTAAATGGTCAGTAATCTGCGATTTAAGCTGTTCCTGCAAACTGTGATGATTCATTCGCTTATCTGCCTCCTGGTAGATATAAGCGGCGAAAATTTATAACTATTTTCTCAAATTTGGATTCATTGCAATTTTTCCATATTTTTCTGGTTTTATAATGACCATAGAATTTAATTTGGCAACGCTATTTAAGTGACTTTCTTTATATTTGACATTTATTTACACTTTTTTATTTTTTTCTTAATATAGGAAGCAGAATATTGTTGATTGCTGTTGCTTCAATGCAAGCTCTAATATTCAGCTACACGCTCACCAATGAATAAAAATGAAAATATTCTGAAATGAGAATCAGCTCAAAAGACTTTTTTTACTAGGTTCATCCTCTTAGGAAATGATGACACTGTTCTGCCTGCAATCGAAGAATACGTGTCGCATTGGCCAGATCTTTTTCGGAATCGTCTCAAGTTGAGTTATCGGCCTGTCATTATGCCAGAAGGATGGCATTTAATGGACCTTTACGAGAAATGTGTCACCGAAAAATTGTTCCTGCCATGGGTGCTGTCTGATTTTGACTCCGTCGTGTATCTGGATACCGACCACGTGTTCATGAGACCTCCGGAGCATCTGGTAGCGCACTTCAAAAACTTTGATGACACGCAGGTGCTTGGAGTCGCACCTGTAGATGGTTACTATTTGCAGCACAATATAATGGTAAATCGCTCATAATTGCGTTGTTTTTTAATGTAGAATTCAAATCAAATTAACTAACTTGAAACGAAAAATATGAATTTGAGTTTGCACCCCTGCTCCAATCTTATTACAGTCTTCTCAGGTTCTTAGTCGGGGCTTGACCGGCCAGGATTTTTGTCTGGGTTGTGCTGATGCATGAACAAACCATATTCTACCTCTGAATGGCAATTGAGCTGCATAACCTAATATTCCTACTTGCTTACTCTGGAAGGAAATAACTATTTACTGAATATAGTGTTTCAATGTTCCATGCGTTTTGCTCATAGAGATTTAATATCCACTGAATACGTGCATCAGTAATTAAGAAAAACGCGGTTGACTATACGTTTAAATAGAAAATGATAAGTCACTACTCTGAAGACATGTGCTTCCCAATTTTCTAAGCCATTATTAGAGCTAGAATTTTTCGGTTTGGGTCTTGCATAGATATTACTGCTAAAATGCCTTATATGTGCAGATACCTTACTACGGGAGGCAAGGCTTAAGCAGTGCGCTTTTGCTAGCCAATCTTACACGGTGGCGTGACCTGCCTTTCGACTGGCTGCCCATGGTGACAAGTGTTGCCAAAGTTTTCAAGGAAGGCATCATGGGCGATCAAGATATACTTAACCTCGTTTTCAGTGAGGTATAAATCCGTAAATAATATCTTCCTTCGTAAATATAATAGGTATCGATTATAATTACATATCTTCTTGGTTGCTTGTACAATTAATTTACATCGCTCCACAAGCATTAATGAAGCGAATGTTCTGCTTGTAAATAAATATTACTCGAACAGACCATAGGGTCGCAGAAGTAGCGACGCCAACTTGCTTGAATAAAAAAACACGATTGCGTGTAATTCGGAGATTATATGATCTGCAGCGTATTAAATGCACCAAAATATTCCTTCAATTCTTTATGAGTATTCAGCATAACACAGAAACAGCAATCTGAGTAATACACGTTTAGAATACATAACTAATATTATGTAGGCATTTATAGTACAAGCAACTTTAGAAAAGACAACTTTAAAGTCGAAATATTGAGCTTGAGTACTGTTCTTATGATTCTCCCTTTTAAAAATAAAGGATGACCCATCGATGATTATAGGTGGCGATGATAGAATATAGGTGTCGTAACGGTGTGTGGCCACATCTGCCGAAAATCGACAGTAAAACGCCAATAAATTGAGAGGGTGGCGTGTATAGGTGACATTCATCGATGATTTATAGGGTCTGAATCATAGAAGGCCCATTGCAGCCATACGTATCTATTGTAAGCCACCGATGACCGTTTGCCCAAACTGCACAATGCACGATGGAATTTGCCACTTTAATTTATCCAACGTAGAAAGTTGTTATATAGTCGAGGTTTATATGAGATTAAGACGAAACCATTCGTTCTGTGTGCTTGGACTTTAAGATTTCGATTCAAGTAAATGTAACAAGAATTTAGCGATAACTCGCTATAGGCGTGAGTAAAACTGACAGACAGCAGCAAGGTCTTCACAAAAGTGAAGCCACAGGGCACGTATCAGACGACTCCTGACATAAATTGTCAGAGAAACACAGGAAAATTTTGTTGAAAAAAGTTCATAAAAATGATTGCGACTCCAATTTTTCCTCTTCACCTGATATATTCCTGATCGACAGGTTATGGCTGGAATAAAGGCCGAAAACGCCATCGATGCCGCATCGATGCGCCATCGCTGCTTTACCTATAATTCTCACCTATAGCCTCCAATAATCATCGATGCTCCACCAATAATTTTTATTTGAGCTGGGATGAAGATGGGAAGACCTACTCACATAATTTTAGTTTCACAATCCAATACTAATACTTTGGTTATCATGGCACCAGGCATTCAGTACAAGATTGCACGTGTAAAGTCGCAGCCTCCGAATAGGCATCATCAATTGTTAGGGCTGTAGGCTTCACAGTTCCTCAAATGCCAGAACGTAACCTAATCAAGAAATTTACAAGCAAAGAAAACGCCAAACAAATTACCCATATCGATATTGAAACGTTTCGGAGTCCAGCTCCATCATCAGTTCAACAATCTAAAAAATGAATACAATCATTTTACAATTCAAAATTCTTAGTCAGACATTGAAACCTAAAAATCATATAACACATAACAACATTAAATCGAAAACCAGGACTCGCGGAACACAGTCATAGAAGACACGAAAAATTAATACATAAGAAAAAACACTACAAGATAAAAGCCTGGCGATTCACTATTTCAGGAGGATAGGAACTGAACGCATTATTGAGACACGGTTTTCTTTTGTAGAAATGAATAAACGAACCGAATCAAAATTAATGCAGTCCCGCAATGAACTCCAGCATTGCCTTACATTCTCCGTAAATGCAGCCGGGATACTATAAGCAATCACTGCTACCACAGTTATGTTCTGCTGTGATTTGCGCCTGGCAGCTTATGGACGTTGCTCCGAAGTAGCCACATATATATCTTTCGTTACTACAAGTGGGCATTCAATCTGTAGGCATTATCTCATTAAGTGGACTGTCTTTCCATCGCAAAGTTTCTTCTTCATGGAATTGGGCGTGAAATTAAAAAAAAATCACACTCCACCATACACATTCACTTATATATTTATAAATAAGATCACATTTCCTCCCGAAGACAAACGTTGAAAAATGCTCCGCTTCATAACACCTTTCACAAATGTATAGAGTTTTTGAAAATAATGAAAATACATACGGCACGAATGAGCGCAAACGCGAATTGCCTCTAAATCAACGAAAGACTGATTTTTTGAACTATTACACGACTTGCTAGTTGAAAAATTTACCACCCAGTACTCGTAAAATGCATGAAGATGAGAAGGAAACCTCAGAGACCCTTGAAAAATTTTACCGAGAACATAAAAATTTTAGTTGAATATAATTCCAATCAGAGTCCAACTTGCTGCATTTTCTTAGAGCCTTATTTTTATAGTGCTTTTCTTGCGCTGAAATCGAGGATCTTCATAATATATCCTATGATGTGCTCATTTTTTGTTTCTATATAAAATTGAAATATAGGTTTCAAAATATGTTAAAATTTTATCCAAAATTTAATCCGATTGCGTTATTGGCAGTCGGTTTTCCTCAAACCGACACTCTATTACCAATTACCAATAATAATTAATTATTGAAATTAAATGTTGGACAAAATTTTATCTTTATTTAGCTCTTCTCCGATTGTAAAGTCAAATTATGTCATTCTACATGCAGCTTACAAGTGCTTCTGTGAATGATGTAAATGTACAAACAAAAACTAAATGCCGAAAAAATAACCTTGCACATATCATTGATAATTTTTTAAGACAGGAATTCACATACACTCTAAAGTAATATAATAAGACACTCTTCCTACTGCAATATATGAACTACAAAGGTGCAAATAGCCAGTTCATTAAGAATTTGAGGAGCTTGAGCGAATTTTTCTTGAGCGTCTTACAGATGTTTAAATTATGAATCATAAATACGAGTGCCAAAGTGAAATGAATTACGCACTAACCCCCTTTCCCCCAAAACAAAAAAAAAAACGCAAAACGGTATGACCGTTACTTCAGTTACCGCCAGCCCGTGAAACAAATAACCGCGTCGTCGTTTTTTTTCAAAATTAACACAAAAAATCCATGCCATAGGCTCGTATGCTAAATAGGGCACTAGCACTACGAAGTAGCACTACGCACTACAAGCCGTAGTGCCGTACTAGTGCGACATGGAACACTACGGTTGGCATGCTAAATAGGGCACTAGCACTATGAAGTAGCACTACGCACTACAAGCCATAGTGCGTACACTAAACATTGTAGAGCTACTTCGAAGTGCTTAGTGTCTGTGACGTATTTAGCATACCAACAGGACACTTCGTAGTGCATAGTGCTACTTCGTAGTGCATAGTGCTACTTCGTAGTGCATAGTGCTACTTCGTAGTGCTAGTGCCCTATTTAGCATACGGGCCATAGTAAAAAAAACGGCGAATCGGTTTATTTCCACTGGGCGGCCGATCTACTAGAACACCGGCCAGATCGTTTATTCGTGAAAATAACGCCTGGATAAGCCTTTCGGAAATCATCATAAAGGATTGGACGTTTATTATATTCTCATGAGCTGAAGCAGTACTATCCAACCTCGTTTGAGTACACGTAGCGACTATTTTCTTCTGCGTGCTTAGGGGTTCAGCATCAAAAACCGTCAGTGATTGGCTGATTACAAATTTGCGAAATCGTAACTTTTTTGTACGCCCTAATGATTCTTTGTCGTCAGTTTCCAGACTACATCTACGACCTCAGCTGTGACTGGAGTGGCAACATCGAGCAGTGCTTGACAGTGAACTGGAACTGCAGCTCCATCGAACAAACAGGCTTTTCGTTGGTGCACGGCGCAAGATCAAGATTTTTTGCGGAAGGTCTTTGGAATATTAGAACTATTCCTCATCAATTGCCATTCGTCATCCCTATGGAGGTACTTAAGTTTTTTTATCCATCAAATTCCAGTTGAACATTCTTTTTTTATGGATTAGAAGTAGGAGCGCATAATTTTCTTAGATTAATGCCTTCACTCATAAAAATGAATGCGCCATTGTCCACATAGTGACATATTCTATTACTCGCAGCAGGAGCACAGATCGGACGTAACACTGATAAGCCATTTGCCGGGCCGAACTGCGTCCGGTGAACCCACACACGGACGAAATATCACTATTCATAGTCTTGCTCAGTTCTCTGATTGCTTATATGCATGTTTAACTGTAAAATCGTCACGTGTTCCACCGTATTGATCTCGTATTTTATTTCATGGTTACAATTTTGGTGGCATGGGAATAATTACTGCATCATTGCTTAAATTCCATCTTTGAATGAAATTGCACGCAGAAAAATGAATGATGCATTATTCAGATAGCGTTGTATTTTCTGCCATTAATTGTATTGGACACCTTATACCCTATTATCCCGGCAAAAAGGCATCTTAAAATAGTTTGCAACTTCCGCTCTTTGCTCGTGCTGTGTATGAGAGTATTGAACACTATGTTTCAACATAAAGCATCGTGACGATATTTACACAAAATCTTTGCTAATACTCTGATGAATACCAATGAATTATTTGATAATTCCACACGGAGAATCTCCATCGGAATTTTATTACAATTTAAATATGCAATATAATAGAGCATTATTTCATAAACGCGATTATTTAGGCCATCTTGTATAAATAGATTCCTAAGAACCATACCAGAATGCGCGTAAGTGTTCAGTAACTTAGCGAAAATACCTAGTGTGTGAGTAATGTTTTTCTGAACTCAACTGACAATTAATTTTTAGGTTTCGATTAATTTGTACACTGTTTATAAAACTCTACGTAATTATATCCTGTCAATTACATTTTTAATATATTTCTGTTTTTTTTTTTCATTTTTCAGTCTCCACTACGGAGAATTATGCACTTATGGAACAATATCATTGTTACAAGTAACGATTTCATTCTTTGACGGATTAAAACTTTTATAAAACTTCAAACCGATTTTTTGCTGCGTTTAAATCGTGTTAATTCTTTTTTTCTCGCTTTAATTCGTGCAGGAGATTTTCGTTGCATGGGAGAGGCACGACTTGACTGATTCTTTGTCAGTCTTACTTCAAAACTTAACCAAAAACCTCCACACACGAGAAGATGAGCTGCGAAGAGCGGAGGCGAGCCAAGAAGAAAATATGTTTTGCTCCTACAGTTTCGAGAAGCTCCTGAAACAACTGAACGATCTCGTCTAGATACTCTCCTAAATTATACTATTGATATTACTTGGTTTCAGATTTTATAAGAACAAATAATGAAAAAAATTGTGAGTCATAAATCGCTTACCAAATGCTAGCTTGGAAATTAGGACAAATCAAATTTATATTTCAGTTTCGCTATTTAAAAATTAAATTAAAAATACCTCAAGCCATTTTCCTAAAACTAAAAGAGGCTCCGCAAACTAGTAAAATGAATTCAAATCGCGCACAAACGGATGAAAACGTTTCCTGCATCCGTTTCTTTCGGGTTATTCGTTTTATAAAACTTCTTGGGGACTAATGTACTCGGAGCCAGTAGTGGCGGCCACTGCGTGACGTTATTACAGTGTATGTCACGATATTATCATTTGCCATCATAATCTTATAGACAGAGGTAGGCAGTAGCGCGCTACATGTAGCGGCCGCTACTAGCGGCCGCTATATTTTCAGTAGCGGTAGCGGTAGCGGCGCTACATATAAGGCAATGTAGCGGTAGCGCCCGCTACATATTTAAGTAGCGATACGAGGTTTTGCCGCTACAGCGTTACCGCAACATTTATAAATATAGCCTTTAGATCAGTGGTTCCCAAAGTGGGTGATATCGCCCCCATAGGGGCGGTAGAAAGATTTTGGGGGAAGGTAAGGAAGAAGATGGCGTTTGGGGGGCGGTAGGAGGCGGGCGGCAGTCCGAAGTCAAAGTCAGAAGTTCGAACGTTTGTTTGACGATTTGTACACAACACGTGCAGCACATTATGACTCCCAGCGATTCAATGATCAAGGAATATCTCTCAAACTACTGAACTTAACTTGATGAAACTTGGTACACGTATTCGTTAGGACCTAACGGTAATGTTTAGCTCGTGAATTTTTTTTTAATTTTGCCTTCATTTTTTTTGCCACAGTTATATGGCAATACGGGCCGAAATTCACAGGGATCAAGGAATTTCTTCCAAACTATTGAACAGATTCGAACGAAATTTTGAATTTGCAGTCCTAACTACCGAACGGTAATGTTTAGCTCGTGAAAATTTATTCGATGCGCCTTTGTTCGCGAGTTTTTTTTATTTCACCTTCATTCGTGATTTAAACAGCAATACGTGCTTAAATACGTGCAATCAAGAAATTTCTTGCATAACTACTGAATAGATTTGAACGAAACTTAGTATTTAAATACCTAACCTGAGCAACGGTGATGTTTAGCTAGCTACAACTTTTTGTTTTGCCTTCGTTTGCGAGTTATACGGCTATACGTATACGGATATACGTAAACGGCTCCTGGTTAAACCTGCCGGTAGGAAAGCCGGTCGTTCCTCCAATATCTGTATAACTCGAGAACGAAAGCAAAATAGAGAAATTGTCACGAGCTAAACATCACCGTTTGGAGGCTAGGTATTTATATACAAAGTTTCGCTGAAATCTTTTCAGTAGTTTAGAAGAAATTTCTTGATCGCCGAGAATTTAAGCGACTAATTATCCGGCGATTCGGGCCGTATATATATATATATAAGGAAGTGTGAAATCAAGAATGACGATGAAATAAAAAAATCTCGCAAATGAAGGTAAAATTAAAAATTTCTTAACAAGCTAAAAAAATCACCGTTTGGTAGTTAGGAATGTACGTTCAAAAATTCGTTCAAATCTGTTCAGTAGTTGGAAAAAATTCTGTGATCACTGCGAATTTTGGCCTGTATCGCAATATAACTCGCGAATGAAGGTAAAATTTACGCATTTTTACGAGCTAAAAATCCGCGTTAGGTTCTGATGAATACGTGTTCCAAGTTTCATTGAACTGCGTTCATTTGTCTGGGAGATATTACTTGATAATTGAATTTTGAGATTGGTCGTGCGACCGGCCACGAGTCCGGCCGTACATGTGCCCGAAGCGTCCTAGGTTTCTAGTGCTGAAACCGTTGAAACAGCTGAAAAAAATATTGGTTCACTAAATGGGGTTCTATTCGTGAAATACACATTTGTGTTTAACCTTTATCTTTTAAAATTGCAGCGCACTAAATTTCAAGAAAGAGCTAATGGCTGAAATGTTTTTATACGTATGTGTCTGTGGGGGGCGCTAGAAATTCACTAGGGAGCCAAAGGGGGCGCCAGCCTGAAAAAGTTTGGGAACCACTGGACTAGACCAACTATATATGAGTGCACGCACTCTGAGCTTGTCGATGTACATCTTATGAAGCAGGGACTAGACCAACTATATTCTGAGCTTGTCGATGTACATCTTATAAAGCAGGGACTAGATCAACTATATATGACTGCACGCACTCTGAGCTTGTCGATGCACATCTTATGAAGCAGGGCGGTGTCTCTGTAGCTGGGGAAGTCCACCACGACGTTACCAGCATATGCAGCAGAAATAGAAGCTTCACTACAAACTTATGCAGCATATGCGGCGATATGCAGCAGAAATAGAAGCTTCACTACAAACTTATTGCGTAGAGGCTTCAATGTCGATAGTTCTATCAGATGTATGAACGTCTGAAAAACTAAAATAATCAACTGCAGATGGAGAGTTTTTGAAATAGATATTTTTTTTCCTGGTACATCATTTAGAAAAAAGGCCACGACATGAGCAATGGAAAATGTTTTCACTGGTTAAGCTTAAAAATTTCTCCTCGTTAAATTCATAAAGCAAGTCCCGTTCCCGTGTTATCTATCACTCACACTTTCTTCATGACAAACTGACATAACAGGGCCGTTTATGTGTTATCACTCACACTTTCTTCATGACAAACTGACATAACAGGGCTGTTTATGTGTTATCACTCACACTTTCTTCATGACAAACTGACATAACAGGGCCGTTCACGTGTTATCACTCACACTTTCCTCATGCCACTTCATGCCGTCGAGGAAGGCGAGGTTATTGAAGACGTCACTGACGACCTCGGAGACCGACACGCCAAGAGGCATCTCGATGATGACGAGGTAGCGGTCGGTGACGCCCAGGGAGTGCATGTAGCACGGAGACAGGCGCCACCGCGGAGCCAGACGCGCTGCGAGGTACGGACGAATTATGCAATAGATTTTTATTTCGATTTCCTGCTATTTATGAATTTTTAGTTTTTAGATCTTAGTTTAAATTCAGCGTTTTAAATTAAATGTTTAAATTCAGCGTATCGTGCCTGGATGCTTGTCGAGATGGCTGAAATTTCTCATTAAATGGTCAAAAAAGCTTGTGAAAACAGTGTGTTTAATTTGATTTTCCTAATTTCGCGAAAGTAGCTTGATGAATCCCCTTACAGGGGATGAAATTCAGTTCACGTTAATGAGTTGTCCAAGATTAAATACTTCGTCGGCAGGGAACTCGAGTACATTGTATTTAGATCCTGTGAGGCTGACCGCGTGGCCGACGGTGTAACAGTTGCCCAGCTTGTCGTACACGGGGTGAGGGGAGGTCGTCACCAGGCTACCCTCACGGTACAACGTCCGCTGCCGAAATATTATTGAAAATTATAATATAATTTGGTTGCTCCCGTTAAAGATGGATTTCTCATTATTAACTAAAGAAATCATAGCTAAATTTATACCTACATCATCATGGGACGTGTTCGAGGTTATAAATTGTAATTTTTTTACAATCTATTTTCTCTACCTAATAATGTATTTAATCAGACAGAGAAAATAGATGAAAAAAACTCTACCCTGAGATTGCAGTTAATGATGGTAAATTTAAACAATTGAACATGTTTGGAAATAAAATATTCACTGACTTGATTCATTCAGAATCTTCTGTATGCATCTAATTTACTAACTTCCGTTGTTTAAATATCATGATATGTATTAATGATGTTTAATTGAGCGAATTCAAAGTTTCAAATATTTTATAGAAATTAAACTTTTTAATTAATCATATCGTTTGTGTACAATAAAGTTATTCCTCATTAATTGAATAAGAAAAGAAAAGAAAACTATTGTTTCTACAATTGTTTACACTATTTCACTAATAATTTAGAACGGCACCTTTAATTACAGTACTGCGTGGTATAGTATATAACATTCTTATGACGTTATAATTTCGCAACAATAGGACCGTCGTGAAATGCCTGATCATACTCGTAATACACAACATTCGTCAGGCATTTAAAATAAAGCACTGCCTGAGATCTCACCCTTTATTTGGTTACAAAATATATTATGTGTTATCATGTCGCTACAACATGACCATGTAAAATGCTCGATCATAATATACAGCCTTCAAAGGACGCCGTCCGAGATTTTAACCTTTTATTTAGTACTATATTCCTTTTGGCGTTAACATTCCGCTGCAATACGACTGTCTCAGAGTGCTAGATTACAATACACAATAAGATTCATAGGGCATTTATGATGCAGCGCAGCCGGAGGTCTCACCCTGTTTTTATTATTTACATGTATTATGTGTTATTATGTCGCTACAACATGACCATGTGAAATGCCCTAATACAAAATACAAGATTCATCGGCCATTTATGATGCAGCGCAGTCCGAGGTCTCACCCTCTCCTTGGTCTCAAGAGTGTCGAGGCAGATCTCCTGCATGAAGAGCGTCTCGCCGAGCGCGTACTAGCGGCCGCCGATGCATGCTGACGGCTGCGTTGTCTGACAAGACGTTCTCCATATCGGTCATCTTCTTAAGCCTGCAATGCATAATAAAGCTCCTTATCACTATGTATATTTTGTACAACTTTTACTTCGTTTTCGAATGGAGACTTACTAACAGACCAACTGAAATGATAAATTATCGTCGGTCGACACCTAGTGACGGAAGAATTTCTCGTTTTTTTCGTACGATCAATAGAAAAACATAGTATAATATGTAGTGTTTCTATATATTATTCTATTGAAAGTTTCAATAATGAATAGATACTTTGCAGATATATATCCTTACTTTGAGAAGAATCCCTTCTCTTTCTCAGGAACAACAGGGGCAGTGCCAAACTCCCCGACGATGATGGTGCCTGCCTTCATGTTCTTCTTGTAAGCCTCGGAGCGCAGGTAGCGCGACATGTACTGCGCTGTACCTGACGACACACGAAACCTGCACAACCAACAACGTGTAATGCTGCGTCT